CTTGAACCTGGGAGGCGGAGGTTATAGTGAACCAGGATCATGCCACTGCACTCTAGCCTGGTCAACAGAGCAAGACTCTGTCTCCAAAAAAAAAAAAGAAAAGAAAAGGAAGAAGAAAGAGTTGCTGAATTGTTAGCCACTCAGAGCTAAAAAAAGCTCTTAGAGATCATCATCTCTGACTCCCATTTTACAAGCATGGAAAAGCAAAGGGTCTGACCTAAGGCCACCCAGTGGGTCAATGGCAGAGCTGGGGTGAGGACCCAGGTCTCTTGACTCCTCTGTGCTGGCTCTGCCTGCCGCGTCAGGCTGCTTCCCAGCCACTCCCTTTTGGTTGGCTCAGCACCTCAATTCAGAGGACAGTGCTGAGCATGCGACAAACACTCATAAATATCTGATTAATGCAAAGCAGCCTGGGACACACAGGCCTCTGCCTCTCCAAGGCCCTCAGCTTGAGCTTCACATCACCTGCATCAAGACTTCCCTCAGCACCAGCTGCCCATCAAATGAAGAACTGGCACCCCGGGCCTCTGGTGGCCTAGATGTAGAAAGACCCCATGTGGCTCAGAAATGCAATTCCCATTAGGCCAGAGTTATGAACCAAGCCCTGCTGAATAATCTTAGGCACATGTCTTCACTTCTCAGGTGTTAGGTGCTCCTCCAGACAGGTGGAATGCCTAGAATGGACATGAAGAAAAATTACCCAAGCCTATCAGATGGTTATAGGCGCGAGACAGTCTTTTTCAGAAGAATTTCAGAAACCTGCTTCTAGAAGCCTCTAAGGACAGGAAAGGTTCTGGTCTACCTGGGACAAATGGATAGTTCCATCAAAACTGTGCCACGGAGTGAGCTTGGATGGTCCCCCAGACTCTGTGTCCACCTTCTAGATTGATGAAGACAGGAGCCAACAAGTCTTTAGGGCTGTTTGGAAACATTCTAAATGGGATAGAACCCTATACTATTATTATTAAATTATTATTCACAAACTCAATGCCAAAAATAAAGAGATGTCAATGGCATCATCTCTCTAAAGCCTTCCTGACCCACTCAGTAGGAAAGATCATTCCCTTCCCTCTGTCTCCCCACCCCCTCACACACATATCAGTATGTCTTATAGCTTCCAGATATTTTCTCATACCTACATGTTTAGGCATCTGTCTCCCTCTGTTAGATACGAGCTTCTTAAAACTAGGACTCGCCATTTACTCTTTCTTGTATGCTGTACACTTAGCCCAGGGCCTAGCTAATAAATGACAAATGCTGATCAATGTTCAGCAAGTTAAGGAATCCCCTCCACCTCCAATACTGGAACGAGGTTGCATGTAGGCCTTTTAGAGCCAGTAGACGCATGCGATCATTTGAGGGATGGGAACTCTCAGAGGGAAACTGGCTTACCCATGGTTACACAGTCATTGGAAGGGCTCAGACTAAAAGCAACCCTTTGGACACCCAGTCCAGTGCACTTTCAGCTAAACATTTTCTAGGTTCTATGACACACTGGTTGCACAACTCTAGGTAAGACCCTTTGCCTCTCTGCCTTGGCTTTCTCACTTATAAAAATGGGTAAATTTATACATATATATATATATATATATATATATATATATATATAATAGTGCCTACATAATGGGATAATCTGAGCAGTAAATAATTAAACCCCTGTAAAACAGAGCACAACACATAAGAAGACTCAAGGCTGGGTGCAGTGACTCATGCATGTAATCCCAGAACTTTGGGAGGCAAGGTGGGCGGATCACCCCAAGGTCAGGAGTTTGAGACCAGCCTGACCAACATGGTGAAACCCTGTTGCTACTAAAATACAAAAAATTAGCTGGGCATGGTGGCACGTGCCTGTAATCCCAGCTACTTGGGAGGCTGAGGCAGGAGAATTGCTTGAACCTGGGAGGTGGATGTTGCAGTGAGTCAAGATTGTGCCATTGCACTCCAGCTTGGGCAACAAGAATGAAACTCCATCTCAGAAAAGAAGACGACTCAAAAAATGTGTCTGTCTTGACTGTCATTCAGGCCTAACCATTATCCTTGGTAAAGGGGCACCCACCAACCATCAGCAAAGGAGAGCTCTTGATGAAAGGAAAACTCACCATTCCTGACTCTCACAGTTTTCAACCAGGAAGTACCCTGCAACAATCACTTGAGAGAAACGCCTGATGTCTCACCATAAAATGTTCACAGCTTTTTCTTCTCCACACCCCTATACACATTTGCAAATGCACACACAGCTCATAGCATCAGCAAAGTATGCATGAAGAGGAAGTGAAACCTTTGGCACAGCATGTTCCAGACAGATCTGGTGTCAGGTAACAGGTCTAGCTGCGCAAGCATGAGCAAGTCACTCAATCTCTCCAAGCCTCAGTCTCCTCATCTTTGAAATAGGCATTATTTGCTATAAGGATTACCTCAGATAGTTAATGGTCTAGGGCTTCAGAAATGACATTGAGGGTAATAATAGTTGTTTGATTTTTATTTAACAAAATCCACTTGACAGAATGTCAGAAGCAGAAGGGGTATTAAAGATGACTTAGTCCAGTCCCATCATTATATAGACGGGCACACAGAGGCCTTGAGGGGAGGCCTGACTGGCCCAAGGTCATGTAATAAGGTGGTGGTTGAATGGGACATTGGACCTGGGTTTCATGACTTTCTACTGCATATCCACGTTGGCCACTTGATTCTAATTATCTGCTCCCCTCCCTCACACACAGAAAATGACTAGAATCATTCCCTTCCCAATCCTGCCTTCACAGTCATGTCACACCAACCAGTGCCATCTGGATCCCTTTTTGCCAACATCACCACCCTCCCAGGCACATCTGGCCCCTTTCGGTCTAGTCAGGAGCCTTAGGGGGTAGGCAAAGCATCTGTTCACCACCAGTAATAGCAATAATAACAGTAGTAGAAATAATAATAATGACAGCCAACAACCTGTATGATATCCTACACTTAAAAGGACTTTCGCCTCTACAATCAACACATTCCTAGTTTCTCCCTAACCTAGTTGGACTAGGGACATAATTTCCTCAAGTTCATTTCATTCAATACTTACAGCACCTACTTTGGGCTGACTCATGGGCCAGAGGCTGGAGACATAGAAAGGAAAATGACAGGGCCTCTGCCAAACAGAAATTGAGAATGGAGGTGGGGGGACATGACAACTTATTTTGGCCCAAATGGTGCAGCAGCAACACCCTCCACCCGGCCCTGTGGGGAACCTCCTTTACCATGCTGTCAAAAGGCAGAAGGTATCTGTGGAATAGAGAGGAAAAAGACTTGTGTGCTAGGCTGAAAATGACAGCAGGAAGGAAGATAAAGAATTGAAAATACAGGCACCAAAAACATGACTCCTGGCCTCAGGGTGACTCTAGGGAGACACTCCAGGGAGAGCAAGAGAGCCGCAGTGAGATTCGCATGAGATCTGGAAGACCTGATCCCTGCCCTGCTGCCAGCACACAAGATTCTGCTGCTTCTGTTCCCTCAGAGACTCCGCCCTTGGATGCCAGGATTTTCCATACCCAATGCTGGGCTATAGGTCTCCTTGGGACCATCATTTGCTGGAATGATGTCACAGTCCTTGCAGTGGAAATGCTGCTGCCTAGGCTCTGAGCCTGGTGGCCCAGCACACTTCAGCATTCATTACCCCTGGCAGGGACACCATCCGCAGGGGTGTGGAAGAGACTGGTAGGGGAGGGGGAGGGGAAGGAGAAGACGACTATAAGCAGCCACCTCTTCCTCTCTTCCCCCAGTCTATCTCCTAAGTCCTGAGTTCCTGAGAACCTACTATGTGCCAGGCACAGGCACTATTTTAGGTGCTTCCACATATACCTCACTTAATCTTCGCATCAGCCCTCTGCAGGTGTACCCCTAGATTTACAGATGGAGAAACTGAAGATGGGGGAAGGGAAGTCACTTGGCAGTGCACGGATGTCACCATAGGGCTGTCTGGTGCCTCCAGTTCCTTGTGGCCCACAAGGTCAGTGTTTCACTTGAGAAGTCCAGAGTTGAAAGAGATCAACTGAGGAAACCCCAGTTATTTCATGGACCTAAATTTAAATTGCCTTAGCAAGGGGTCCCCATGACATGTAAAAGCTGCTTGAGTGATACACTGAAATTATACAGATCATTTAATCCAATTCCTGCATTTAACAGATGAGCAGACACCCACGCCTAAACAATTTTAAGATGGCTACTTGTGGCTAATTAACAAAGGGCCTAGAACCCCAATTTCTGGCACTTCCCTTACATGACTCTGCCTGCAGAGACCACCTTTTTCTGAGAAGCCTCCAACCCATCCCCACACCACCAGATGGGCAGAGAAGGCAGAGGAAACAGGCAGCATGTGACTGGCCTCTCCTTCAGTCTGCAGGGTTGGGGAAGGGAAGATGGGGCTCCCCAGGCCAGTAGGTGTTGCAAACAGCACAGCTCCCTGCTGGGAAGTGGAAGGCTTCATATCCCAGGGAAGCTCCGGGGAGACTGAGGCTCAGCTCTTCCACTCGAGGACTTAAGGGCATTTCCCCACAGATCTACTGCAGGGCCCTGATGCTTCTCAGAGGGAAAGATGGGATGGAAGCAGTCATTGGCACTTGACCTTGGGGTGGGTGTGGGGTTCCATCCTTCTCCCACCTCCAGGTACCCTTGTTCCTCCCCCAAGAAGGAAAAGAGAAGCTTAAATGTTTGCCAAATGCCAGAGAGGAAAACAAATGAAAATTGGGAGGGGTGGGGTTTCCTAAAAACCTCCTAATCGCCCACTTTGGGCATCTTCCCTGCTGCAATCAGCATCCTCTAATTCGTAAATTTCACGGAAGGGAAGGGAAGGAAGAGCTTAAAGGGATGTAGGGGAACGAAGGGAGGGTAAGAATGAGTCACGATTAACCCCTCTTAGGCTGGTACCCTCCAAGGGATTCTACCGCAGCAAGCGGTTGCAAGCAGCCCCCACCTGCCGCGGTGCAGCGCAGGGCCAGCTCCCAGCTCCGCCGCGGCCTCCTCACCTGAGTCCACTCGCCCTCCGCAGCCCCGCCGGCTCGCACCACTCCGGCCCGGCTTGGCGCAGCGCCTCTGCAGTCGTTGCTGCAGCCGCCAGGCCCTGATCAGCAACCTGCGGGGTTAGGAAAAAGAGAGAGACAGGGGCGGGTGAGCGCAGGCGGGGAACACACGGGCAGCTGAGCCCCCGGCCGCTGACAGCTGGGCCGCTTTAGCCAGAAGGCTTGGAGGACAGGCTGCCTGCCTGGTGCTCAGTCCCCTCCTCCTCGCGGCCCGCGGCCCCCACCCCACCCCACCCCACCCTCTGGCACTTGGCACTCTGGGCTGCGGCGGGTGCAGCTGGGCGGTGGGCCTGGAGGTCCCCGGGGTCCTTGTCATCACCTGCGGAGGCTTCCATGGCTTCAGCTGCCCTGCCGGGGCCGCCGAATTGCTCTCCCGAGCCCCTGCAGGAGGCGGCTAGCTGGGTGCTCCTCGGGGCTGGGGCTGCCGGGAGGGAGGGGCGGGGAGGGTGAGGTGGATGGAGGGGACCAGCCAGTCGGCGGCTCGCCGGCAGCTGCGTAAGCGGCCCGTCTTTACTTTCCTTCTTAAAGAGATAGTTGGTATCTTGCTATAGAGGCCCTGGGAGCAGAGACGCAAGCACACGGGGAGCAGGGTCCTCTCCCACTTACACACCAGCCGGTACTCTGAGCTGGGCGATCGGTCGGGCATGGTGGAAAGCGTCTTGGTCGGCTAACAGGCTGTGTGACCCTGTGCAAGTCCCTTCACCTCTCTGGTCTCAGCTTTTTCTTCTGTAACGTGGGATGATGATACCAGTCTCACTCCCTGGCACATAGTTGGCTCTAGTTAAATAGTCATTTTTATCCAAAAGCCTTTAGGAACATTTTTCACTACCCAAACGAAGTTTGAGTACCAGGGTTATTTAATGTGAATGGCAAGCAGTACTTGGGATACTAAGAAAAATGATAGCAGGAATCTTAAATATCTGAAAATGAAAATGTTTTCCTTTGAAGTAGTGAAAAGGTGAATCATTGGAAGGATCTCAGAGAGATAAGATATCACAACCTAAAATGTTCATTGTGGCTCTTTTCCCTCTGTCTTCCCTCTGATATCACAGGGGAAACAAGAGGACCAAAAAGTCCAAAAAACTGGATTTTCTGCCTAGTCCTTCCCTTCTAGCCATGCAACTTTAGATAAGTTAACTCACTTTCTGGGCCTGGTTCCACCATCCTGGAAGTCCTTTTGTCTTAAGTCTCTGCTTCATGTGTGGGAAAATAGGTGGAGTGAGAATGGGCTCCTTCTTTCTGAACCAGCCCTGTCTGATGTGTCATTACTTTGTTCTAAACCATCCAGTGGTTTTCCATATCGCTCTCGGCCACATGCCCTCATCTTACTCCAGCTCTCTGACTTCATCTTGTTTGGCTCTCCCCATCACTCACTTTTCTCCCATCAAGCTGTCCTTCTTGCTGACGCCTCACTGCTGGGCCTTTGCATTTGCTGTCTCCTTTGCCTAGGACACACCAGAGAGCCACCTGGTTCAATCCTTCCCTTCCTCCAGGTCTCTGCTCAAATGTCACAGTTTCAGGGAGGCCTTCCTTAACCATTCTACATAAAATACTAACTCCCTCCTCTCCACCCACTTTGCCCCTAGTTTTGCTATATTTAATTACCAGCTGACATAGTATATATTTACAATTTCTCATTTATTACTCCCACTAGAATGTATACTTCATGGGGGGAAGGAACTTTGTTTTTTCCCTTGCTGTATTTCCAGTACCCAGAGCAGTGCCTAACACATAGTAGGAGCTCAATAAATATTGACTAAGTGAATGAGAAAGCAAGCACACATTGTGCCAGGCCCCAGTGTTCTATGAGAACATTCGGCCAGATGCCATCCTGGAAGTCCTTGTCTTAAGTCTCTTAAGGCTCTTAAGTCCTTAAGTCTGTTTACTCTTGCCAGTGCTGAATTTGGTACCCTCTACTCTCTGCCCCAAGCTGGCTTTCCAAAAGAAGAATTTGTAAAGTGACTTCACTGATTTACATCATGACTCTGCAGTACTGGCCTGGTGAGAAACAGTTAATATTGATAATGCACATGAAAAAATAATTATTTTAAGTTTACTATTGCTTTTCACAGTCAAATCTTTTTCTGTATCTCTGAGCTACAGTAAATCCATTTTTTTTTTGCAACAAATGCTAATACATTTTAGAGGGGACATTGATTATATTTTGTCCTCCATTCAGTTAAACTGTATCCTATCAGATAGCCATCATTATATTATGTTTTCTAGAAAAACGTGGGAGAGCAATTGTAGCAGGAATAGGAAACTAGTTGAAAGAGCCATGTGAAATGTTGAGGCCTTCTGTCCAAAATATCTAATGCTTATGTCAGCAAGTTAATTGATAAAATGTTTTATCTCCTCTAATGCTCACTGAAATTATAAGTGACATTTTTACACTTAAAGCAAAACCAAAGGAAGCCATGTAATTATTACATGTTTAGCAGGAGAACATTTCTGAGATTGCCATTAAAATATTTTTTATCTGTTCCCATGGTGTTTTAGTTATTAATAGAGTTGGGGCTTTACTGTGTTGCCCAGGCTGGTCTCCAACTCCTAGGCTTAAGCAACCCTCAGCCTCCCAAAATGCTGGGATTACAGGCTTGAGCCAACATGCCTGGCTGTCCCATCCTCATGTGTGTATGTGTGGGTTTTTGTGTGGTGTTGTGTTTTTTTTTGGTTTTTTTTTTTTTTTTTTTTTTTTTTTTTTTTTTTTTTTTTTTTTTTTTTTTTTTTTTTTTTTTTTTTTTTTGCTTGATACTTAGAAGACTACATTTCCCAGAAATCTCCACAAGGAACTTCCCCAAAGCAAGAGAGCAACTTCACTCACATTACTGTCACCTGGAATGGTGTTAGCTAGTAAAGAATTCTTCTCAGCATTAGGAAGCAGATGATTGAGAAGAGAACTGGTGTTTAGTTATAATGTAAATGGCAACACATGAGGATTATAAGTATAAAACAAAATAAAATTATTCCTAAGAAATTAGTAAGGCCGGGCATGGTGCCTCATGCCTGTAATCCCAGCATTGTGGGAGGCCCAGGCGGGTGGATCACGAGGTCAAGGAGTTCAAGACCAGCCTGGCTCTAGAGATGATGAAACCCTGTCTCTACTAAAAATACAAAAAAAAATTAGCCACGCATGGTGGCAGGCACCTGTAATTCCAGCTACTCGACTGACTGAGGCAGAGAATTGCTTGAACCCACAAGGTGGAGGTTGCAGTAGCCAAGATAGCACCACTGCACTCTAGCCTGGGCAACAGAGCGAGACTCCGTCTCAAAAAAAAAAAAAAAGAAAAAGAAATTAGCAATTTTGTTTTGTTTTGGACTAGTTGAAAATACATAAATTTTGTTTTTTAGTTTCAAAAACAATTTTATTCCAATTCTGGGTAAGCATACTCCTCCCACTGAATGCAGCAATAAAACCTGAACAAAATTCATGTAGCAGCTATTCGAGGATTCTGAAGACAAAATACTAGCAGGCATATTGGGGAAGAAGCCAGAATTTGACACACCCTACCACTAAACTAGTGGTGAATTTACCATTTTTATTTCTTCCTATAACTCCTAGCCTGGTCTCAAGGAGATCAAAATCTAGAATTGGGGCTCAATGAAGAGAAAACTCCCAAAGAATCTCTCTAGTTTTGACTTGAAGATCAGGAAAAGAGACTTCTGATGCTCAGAGTGAGTGAGTGAGTGAGAGATATAATTCTTTTCCTTTCAAATCTTTTCTCCATTCTCTCATGGGCCAGTCCCTAGGCCATGGTAGCTGTGGTAGCTGTGACAGCAAGAACTCACAGGTGCCTAAAACTCTGAGGAAGAAAAGGAGCTGTAGTCCCGAGGGAGGGTGAGCCCCTGCTGTTTTTTGTCTCTGTCCTCCTACCACCTGGTCTCAGATGCAAGTTCAGTTGTAGAAAGTAGGCAGCAAAGCAGAACAGAGTAAATAAAACTCCAAACTCCAGCATTCTGGCAAAACCCAGAGAGGACAAACCAAATGATGATGGTGATAATAATAATAGTTTTCAGTTACTGCTGAAAATTAAAAACAGGATCTTGAAAGCAGTCAGAGAAAAATGATGCATTAATAATACAGGGATAGGTTTGGTGCAGTGGCTCACACTTGTAATCCCAGCACTTTCAAAGGCCAAGAGGCAGATTTCTTGAGCCCAGAAGTTTGAAACCAGCCTGGGCAACATGGTGAGATCCCATCTCTACAAAAAATACAAAAATCAGCTCGGTGTAGTGGTGTTCACCTGTAATCCCAGCTACTCTGGAAGCTGAGGTGGGATTGCTGGAGCCCAAGAGGTCGAGGCTGCAGTGAGCCACGATTGCACCACTGCACTGTATCCTGAGTGACAGAGCAAGATCCTATGTCAAAAAAGAAAAGAAAAGAAAAAATGT